TGTGCCCAATGTCCCTTGTGCCCAGTGTCTCCTGTGCCCAGTGTCCCTTGTACCCAATGTCCCTTTTGCCCGGTGTCACTTGTGCCTGATGTCACTTGTGCTTGGTGTCCCTTGTGCCCAGTGTCCCTTCTGCCTGGTGTCCCTCGTGCCCAGTGGCCCTTCTGCTTGGTGTCACTTGTGTCTGGCATCACTTGTGCCCGATGTCCCTTGTGCCCAATGTCCCTTGTGCCCAGTGTCCCTTGTACCCAATGTCACTTGTGCCTGGTGTCCCTCATGCCCCGTGTCCCTTCTGCTTGGTGTCCCTTGTGCCCGATGTCACTTGTGCTTGGTGTCACTTGTGCCTGGCATCACTTGTGCCTGGTGTCCCTCATGCCCGGTGTCCCTTGTGCCCAGTGTCCCTTCTGCCCAATGTCCCTTGTGCCCGGTGTCTCTTGTGCCCGGTGTCTCTTGTGCCCAATGTCCCTCATGCCCAATGTCCCTCGTGCCCGGTTTCCCTCGTGCCCAGTGTCACTTGTGCCCAGTGTCCCTCGTGACCGGTGTCACTTGTGACTGGTGTCCTTGTGCCCAATATCCCTTGTGCCCAATGACACTTGTGCCCAATGTCACTTGTGCCTGGTGTCCCTCATGCCCCGTGGCCCTTCTGCTTGGTGTCACTTGTGTCTAGCATCTCTTGTGCCCAGTGTCTCTTGTACCTGGTGTCACTTGCACCCAATGTCCCATGTGCTTGGTATCCCTTCTGCCCAATGTCACTTGTGCCCAGTGTCACTTGTGCCCAATGTCCCTTGTGACCAGTGTCTCTTGTACCTGGTGTCACTTGTGCCCAGTGTCACTTGTGCCTGGTGTCCCTTCTGCTTGGTGTCACTTGTGTCTGGCATCACTTGTGTCCAGTGTCTCTTGTGCCCGGTGTCCCTTGTGCTCGGTGTCACTTGTGCCCAATATTCCTTGTGCCTGGTGTCCCTTGTGCCCGGTGTCCCTCATGCCCGGTGTCCCTTCTGCCCAATGTCCCTTGTGACTGTTGTCACTTGTGACTGGTGTCCCTCATGCCCAGTATCTCTTGTGCCCAATGTCCCTTGTGCCCAATGTCCCTTGTGCCCAGTGTCCCTCGTGCCCAGTGTCCCTTGTGCCTGGTGTCCCTTGTGCCCAATGTCCCTGGTGCCTGGTGTCCCCTCTGCCCAATGTCACTTGTGCCCGGTGTCCCTTGTGCCCAGTGTCCCTTGTGCCTGATGTCCCTTGTGCCCAGTGTCCCTCGTGCCCAATGTCCCTTGTGCCCCCCAGTGCCCCCCACCTCCTGTGCCCGGCAGCCCCGGTGACCCCGCCATCTCCCGTGTGTGTCACACCGTGTCCCTCGTGCCCGTTCCTGCCGGTGCCACCCCCCGGGGTGGGGACGACGTGGGGACCCTCTGCCACCCCCCCTGTCACCCTGTCACCACCAGGTCACCCTGGAGCACCTTTATTGTGGTCACA